TCAAGGCAGTACACCAAAGGCATCAAAAGAAGCCTTCAGAGTCATCAGTCTCCAGGAAGAGCACTAGATCCATTCACAGCAGAACTGCTCTTTAGTTCTTTACTGCCTCTTGGTACTTCCACTACCCCTTTGCTGCCTCCACTTGCGTGCCAAAGCCTGCACTTCCTTCAGGGCTTTACACACCAAAATTTTTCCTCTGCCCTAGGCCTCCCATCCTCATTTAACTTCCTCCATTTCATTTTCCCAGGCTGACGGACTTGGTTAGGAGTAGATTAAATGGCAGACAACAAACATTAGTTTGTCCACCAGGTGGGAATGACTACCCACAACAACCTACATCATTCTTCCAAAGGTATTAGCATTAAAAAATTTAGATAGAGACATTTTAAATGAAAGAATTCCAAGCTATATAAAGGAGACTTAGAACAACTGGAAGATTTTAAGGCTCATGACAAGTCTATTTCCAGGACAAATGCCAGGCTAGTGCCCTTTAGGATAGGGTTTACAATCTGGAATAAGGGTGATTAGGAGTGGAAAAGGGTTATCAATGGACTTACTAACTAAACTCCATTTATGTATGATGTTTCCACCACAAACTACCCTTATTGTAATTCATTTAATAATCTTCTCTGCTCAAACTTTAAACAAAAGAAAGAAACAAGCTGCCATCTAGATGCAACAATGGGTCTCTCCTCATCCAGAGCAAAGAAGAATGAAAAAAACTAAAATTCATGGAAACAATTAGCTGTAGCGAATGGTACATCATCCGATCTGCAGCCTTTATGACTATGAGACCAGAAGAACTAGATGGTGCCTGGCTACCACTGTCTTCCACTTGAAAGGGGATCTATGTAGGAGATCCTTGATAGAGAGAGAGAACAATGTGGAACAAAACTCAAAAGCATTTGGAGAAAAAAAATGGGGGGGGGGGACCAGGTTTGCTGGTCCCATAGAGCCTGGTGGAACCACTGAGACTATGGCCCCTAGCTGCCTTCAGGTCTGGAATTGAACCCACACCTTTGGTTTCCAGCCAAACAAAAGACAGGCAAATGAGTTGAATGTTTACCTCAGGTAGATACACTCCTTGGAGAGAACAATCATGAGAGAAAGAAGGGCTGCTTATGCACAGGGAGACAGCTTAGGGGGCAGGAATGCATGGAGAAACGGACACTGGGAAGAGGTAACTATAGGGAGGAAATGGGAGGGGAGCTGTTGCATTGTGGTAAACTGTGGTCAATGTCATGAGACAAAGTGTATGTGAACTGCTGTATGGAAAGTGAATTTGCTCTGTAAATCTTCACCCAAATCACAATTTAAAAAAGAAAGAAAGAAAGAAAGAAATCTGAATATTAATTGATTCATTTTCAGAAACGCAACTAATCCCCTGACCCTAGCTAAAAAGCACTTCTGAAACAGGCCATCACTCACCAGTATGAGGCGATGATGTGTCCTTAAAGAATCTTGGGGAACCTATATGCTACACAAGATTATACTTTATCATATCACATGCACACATGTAAGTCCAAAGAATGAATATCCAAAGCCTTGACAGAGGGTGTCAATGGAAGTCCCTCTCTCAGGCATAGGTGCCACCAGAGCACTTACCCAGTTACAGAAGCCCTGAATATTTCCATTTAAACTTGAAAATGGAGTTTCAATTTAGTTTCCGGCAGTCTGACAAAAGTATAGTTAACATTTGGTGTAAACACCACATTATTTTCAGAAAAGTTTACAAATTATTTGCTCTGAAAAAACCATTACCCAAATACCAAAATACGATGTTTGTCTTCACACATCAGACCATCAAAAAAAAAAAAAAAATTTATTCTGGAACCTAGACCTGGCACATTTGTATTGATTTTTGTTTCCCACTTCGAAACTACTTTTAGTCTATCTTATTGTCAAAGAATTAAACAAAATCAAAGAGATACCAATATAAGACTGGTAGCATAGTGGCTAAGACACTTGCCTGCTAACCAGACGGCTGGCGGTTCAAACCCACCAGCAACTCCTCGGAAGGAAGGTTGGGCAATCCTATTTCCGTAGTGATACTGCCTCGTAGTGATACTGCCTCGGAAACCCAAGGAGGGGTCACTATGAGTCGCACATAACAACAACAACATTTGATAGGCAAAATGATAAGGCTTAGGAGGTTGAAAAGGAAACTTACAGCTCACTAACTCAGACTGTTCCAACAGCATGCCATACTATGTGGCTAATAATCCCTCGATACTGTGAATGAACTCCCTCAATACCAAGCGAAGACGAATAAAACAAATTTCTGCTTTTACAATTCCTCCCAATTATTTGCCCCTAAATTCTCTAAAACAAAGCTCATGGTTACATTCCCCTTCAAAAAGTATATCCTTCTCTCTTATGGAAGAAAGGTGCTTTACTCTTCATCTTCTTCCTCTCAGTTCATCAATCTCTAACCTTGTCCCTAGAAAAGAAATGTTCCTTTTATCTTCCTCCACATCTAGGCCCTTCATTCATTCTCTTCCCCCAATGGTTCCTTCCTTTCAGCTTTTAATAAGACAAAGAGAACAAAAAACACCTTGAATAGTCTTAGGTCTCATTAACACTTCAGTTTGCATCATAATTTTCTTCTTAACCCCTAGTAATCAGGCTAGTTTTAACAACTCTATGAAGCGACTCGAGGGCACATAACAACAACAACAACAACATGAAGCTGCAGAGGGTTACTGACTCCCAATAGCCAAATAGTGACTGATCAACCATTCCTTTTCTAAGACCCTGCCCTTTCAGTTTCTCCTCTTTTGCCCTCCACTCTTCAAGGGGAGTTCAAAGTTGTGTTTAGACCCTATAGTCTTTTCTCCCTGCATCCTGAGTGATCTTCTCTTTCTCTCCTCTGTAGAAACGGCATCAGAAAAACGTTTTAGACATTACTTTTCTCTCAAACTGCATCTATGCACATGCAATACCAACAGTAAACATTAAGTCTTTGTCTCCATCTTCATATGCCCTTCAAATCTCTCTCACAAGTCCAAAAGCAAACTCATCAGAGCTTCTCAGGATTCATACCACTATACTTCAACTGCCCCATTTTACCAACTATATCATCACCAGATAAATCAATCAAACTTCCCTTCACAGGGAAGAATCTAGGTCTGCTGGTTCTTCCACATTAATTCTTCACCTCCCTTTCTTTCAATCTCACCCTCAATATGGTTAGAAGTTTGCTTCTTCCCCTGGAGTTCAAAAGTGACTGCTTTTGTCACTGAAATGTTGTCTTAAGACTCTAACCACTGACTAGCAGTCCTCTCAACTCAAAGTAGTCCCAGCAAGGAAAGGTATAGAAGGGGAACAAAATTAAGAGAAGCTTTGCTAATAGACCACTCTCATTTCAAGGGCCACAGTATCACATTTCACCCCAGCTACCAAGCTTCCTTTACATACATTTGTTTCTCCCACAAGTTGAGTAGCCTTCTTAAACAAATCCACCACATGAAAAGTCTTTTACTTTATGACCAAAAAGAATCAACATTGTGACTACAGGCAGTCACCCAACCACTCCTGCAAATCAATTCTGACAAAGTCGAGTAACTCTTATTTTGATTATTACTGCCTTTTATTGCCAGTATCTTTATAAACAGAAAGCTCTGGTAGCATAGTGAGGTTAAAGCACTTGACTGGTAACTAGAGGTTGGTGGTTTGAACCCACCAGCCCTCAGCAGAGAAAGATGAGGCAGTCTGTTTCTGTAAAGACTGACAGCCTTGGAAACCCTACTGGGGGGGGGGTAGGGGGGACAGTTCTACCCTGACCTGTAGGGCAACTATGAGTTGGAATCAACTCAATGGCAGCAGGTTGGGTTTGGTATCTTTATAAATCCCATCTGAACATCCTTAAGTGACCATCTGAGAATGACAGCAAATTAGGAAAGGCAACACTGTATGTAGTACATAAAATGTAAAAACAAAACAGCCATAACTGGTTCGCTGAGGTCGCTGTAAATGGTAACTTGAATGGGGCCTAAGTCGGTCACTACCTCTATTTTAAAGTGACGATACAAGATCTATAATATTTAAAGAAAAGGAGTTAAAATTTAAAATAATAATAATAAAAAAAAAAACCTTTTGCAACCAGCATCCACAAACGAACTCTGGTAAAGTATCTCTTCCCAGGACCTATTGCAATAACGAACTAATCTAGATAAAACACCTGCTATAGAAAATCTGTTTCCTGAATGAAAAACAAGTAGAAACTTGACCAGACAAGGAAAATAACTGAGAAATTATGCCACTATTTGCTTCAGGAGACGCTGCCTGTTCCTCCTCAGTCCTATCACAGGCTATTCTAAGAAAGCTTAACAGTATGATTCGGCTGGTTTGCTAATCATGTTAGTGCTGCTGCGGAGTTCAAGAAAAGCTGCTTCCACACAGCAAACAAATTATGAAGTTGCAAGAGCAACTGTTCAGAAAATCCACAGCTAAGAATAACACTCGACTTTCTAATAATAAAATTAAAAAAAACAAAAACAAGAACAGCCCACGATCTAAGGATTTAGGGCAGGGGAGGAGGAATGGGCTTCCTGCACTGATCATCTTACCACCTAGACCCTCGGGTCCAACGCAATCTCCCTCTGGACAGCGCCGCGGGGACAAACTGGGGCTAAGTGAGCCCACCCGGAAGGACTGCAGTTTGTAAACGAGGTGGACTGCCCCCCTCACCACGCACTTTTAAGGCGCTGGAGCCTGCGGCTCTCGATAGGGTTTCCGGGAGGATTCTCATTAACATCCATGTCCCAGCAGGTTCAAGGTAAATCGGTGAAGGTAAGAAAGCAAAGTCACAGAGGTCTGGGGGTTCTTGGCGCCTCTGGAGAGACCGAGGCCGGTCCTCAGGCCTCCTCCCCGGGGCGGGGAGGGTACCTCCTGGCCTGCCATTTCCTTGGGAATCATGAATGGGTGAGGGGATTTCCACTCCGGGTCTGGGATCAAGCTCGAGGTAGGCCAACCGCACGCGCCCACCCAGGCCGCCCTACCGTGGCTCTGCAGGATCTCGTGCTTGAGGCCACCCGTGTAGTCGATAAGCTCCTCCAGGCCGCGCTCGCACAGCTGCCCGTAGCCCGAGAACTTGTGCAGCACCTTTTCCAGCTCGCGCTCCACTGTCACGCATTGATCCATCCCGGAGGCGGCGGCGGCGGCGCTCGGCTCCCCGGCGCCCGGGTCTTCGCAGCCGTTCGGCCCGGGCCCGGCCGAGGCCGCGTCCTGCTCCTCGTCCCCCAGGCGTGCGGCGCGGGCGGGCTGAGGCGGCCGAAGCGACAGGCGCGCTAGCCTCGGCGCCGGGGGAGCCCCGCGTACCCTGTGCCTACCTGCCCCATAGTGCTCCGGCACCCCCCTCCCCGCGCGTCACCGCCGCTCGGCTCGCTCCTCCCTGGACCCGAGTCCCAGGACCCCGCTTGCCGCGTTCGGGTGTCCGCGGCTGCGCCGCCGATTGTTTTTGTTTTCACGGGAACCGACCGATGACCTGGTTCTCCCGGGCGGCACCAAGCGCCACCGTCCGAGAGGGGGCAGCCACCCCAGCGAGAAAAGAAGGCTGTGAGGGCTGTACCAAACGCACTCTCAAAGGGGACAAGCCCGGCGAGCGCGGGCGGAGAAACGCGACGGGCGTCCGCACGCGCCGCCGCTCTAAAGGTGTGGGCCGTACCACGCGGGAGGCGTGGAAGGAAGAGGGCGAGGGTGGAGCGAGATCCAATTGGTCCGAGGAGCCGAACAGGGAACTTTGGCGACAACCCCAGCTGTCGGAGAGCGCAACAACTACGCGCTCCGTAAACAAGGAGGTGGAAACTGTGCCTAACCACTCCCCTCAGAAACAAGAAAGGGAACCAATGGGCGCAGGGAATACGTAAGAAACGAACGTCCTCCAATCCCTGGCCGGGACTTAAACCTTCAGCCAATCGGCTGGAGGGGCCAAACCAACGGTCTCGCTGTTGGAGGGGGTGACTCATAGAATGTACAAGGAGGCAAATCGTTTCTGGAAACCGTGTTGAAAAAAAGGCAAAAGCAAAAGGGTTATTTTCCATGGGGCTTCGCCATAATTTATTTCATCATTCCATCATTGGTAAGGGAAAGGAACACCGTCATTCCGAAGTGTGAAAGACGGACCAACCTGCCACTGGCCAAGCCAGGATGTCCGGGGGTGAAAGCTGCAGCAACCGAGGGTCGGTAGCGGGAATCAAAGACGAGGGTGATTCTGGCGACGAATTAGGGTAGCTGTTTGCTGGCCAAGAATTGCTCAACGAGGACGCTGCAACCGTCGGTGATGCCTTGTCGCTTGCGACATTCGAGAGGTCACATTCTTCATTCCCTCGAGTTTCGGCCCTTAGACTCCTCGGCCTGGAAGCTCTCCTGACCGGTCGCCTATAAGTCATGTCCTATTAAGTCAGGCAGCTTTGCAGAATAGAAACTACTGTTCGTAGAGCTGAACAACCTGGACGCTGCTTCTTAGAAGCTTTATTACGTCGAATCATATCGAGTTACTCCCCTTGCATAAATCCTTTGCCCTGGCTTTTCATGGCGTCTCGATACCTCCTTGCTTTCTACACTTCAACTGCACTGACCTTAGTGATGGTACTACCAGCCTAGCTAGTTCCTTCCTCAGGGCCTCTGCACTGGCCATTTCCTTGTTCTGGAAAACTTCCTCCTACCTGTCTTATCCTAAAGTTCCCCACTTGTTCCCCTAGACAGGCCTCGCTAACCAAACTAAACTTCTACCGTTCCTCACTCTCATTATTACAGCATATCTGTTGTTCCTCACTCTCATTATTACAGCATATCTATTGTTGTTATGTGCCCTCGAGTCAGCTTGACTCATAGCGACCCCTCCTTGAGTTTCGGAGGCGGCATCACTATGGAAGTAGATTGCCCAACCTTCCTTTTGAGGATTGGCTGGTGGGTTTGAACGGCCAGGCTTCTGGTTAGCAGTCAAGTGTCTTAGGCACTATGCTACCAGAGCTCCTTGCAGCATATCTATTATACAGTATACTAATTTTATCATACCACAGATCAAAATCTGAAATTGTGTGATTAATTTATTCGTTTATTTCCTTGTCTTTACCACTTCAATAAAAGCTCCGTGACCGCAGGCAACTTGACTGTCTTTTTCTGTGCCAGCAACAGTGCCTGACAACATGGTTATATATGTGTAAACCAAAAACCAAACCCACTGCCATGGAGTTGATTCCCACTCATAGCCACCCCCACTGGGTTTCCTCCCCCCACCACCACCACTGGGTTCCTGAGGCACTAAATCTTTACTAAAGTAGATTTCCCAGTCTTGCTTTGGCGGATTGTGGGTTTGAACCACCAACCTTCTGATTAGCAGTCAGATGCCACAGGCACTGTGCTACTAGAGCTCCAGCTGTATGTGTATATATATCATGTATACATATGTATGTATTTAAAGTGATAACCTTTTTGACCCTTAGTTTCCTTTTTTATAATTTGGAAATAATAATAGCTACTTCACTAGATAATTCGGAAGATCAAGTGAGATAATATATGTAAATGCTTGTAATAGGTACATGATAGTCATATGATAAATGGTGGTAGTAGTGGTTAGTATTGTTGGTGCCCAAGAATTAAAGATGGCAACAAAGTCATGAAATCATGTTGATCTAGCCCCCAATACTTTTATTCATTTCCTGGTGATTCTCAAGGACAGCCTCTATTGATATTACAGATCTTTCTCCTCCCCACTCATCCCACTTTCCTTTCTCCTCTCCTTCTTGGCAGGTGGCTCTGATTCTTACTTCACTGAAAAGATTAAAAAAAAAAAATCCAGCTCTAGCATGCTCTACTTGTGTGGACATTCACCAAAGGTTCTTTCCTCTACTTTCTCTTCTCCCTTTACCTTGTGTCTTCGGAGAACACATCACAACTGCTTGCACAGTTACCTCTATGGACAACCTCTCTCTCCAGCCTTGATAAGCTTCATAAACTTTAGCCTCACACTGCCCCCAACCAGCAAGCCATTGTCCAGAGTACTCATTATTCACAAGGCATCATCCAGAGGACTCATGGTTACCTCCACTCAACATGTCAGAGACAGAATCCATATTTCCCTTCCGAAACTAACTTTCCTATCCCTGACTCCAATTTTTTTTTTCCTTTTTTTTTTTTAATTAGGATTTGGGTGAAGATTTACAGAGTAAATTCACTTTTCATACAGCAGTTCACATATACTTTGTCTCATGTCATTGACCAAAATTTACAATGCAGCAGCTCCCCTCCCACTTCCTCCCCATAGTTACCTCCTCCCAGTGTCCATTCCTTCATACTCTTCTGCACCCTGAGCTATCTCCCTGTGCATAAGCAGCCCTTCCTTCTCCCATGATTGTTCTCTCCAGGGTGTGTGCCTGACTCCAATTTTTGTCAGCAATACCTTAACTCTTCCAGTTTCCTTTACCACTTCTCCATCCTAACATACCTATAGGAGTCTTGTAAATATTATCTCCATCAGATTCCTTGACTCTACTAATCTTAGTTCCATTGTCATCCATATAGCTACTTCTCAAGATCCCTTTGCTGCATCTAATGCCTTCATTTACCCCAGAATCATTGGTTTTCTAAAGGATTTTGTCTTCATTTGTATCACTAAGGATAGAGATTATCTCACTCTCTTTTTTATTCGCCTTTCATGTATAGTCAGATCAAGTTATATTGATTCTAACTTCCTAATACCTTAAGTGAAGTTTTTTGATTTCTACATCTCTTACCTTCATTAGTACCTTTTACTTATTTCTAAGTTATTATAAATGCTTCTCTTTTACCTACCTTTGGTCTCTTACCCCAACAATGCCATGAAATGAATTTTCCTTCCTCTCAAAGAATTCTTGTAATAATTGAGATAATCCATGTAAGGCACTCAACATAATGTCTGGCACATGGTGAGAGCTAGTATGTACTGATCAGAATAATCAGTGACTCCCTATTACCTACATCTTAAAATTCTAATTCTTAGCTGGGCCACATGATCTACCCAGTATAGCACCGCACCACAATTCCCTTATCCAAACATATACACTGTCGCACGCATCCAAGCATATTCACACTTTGAAAGTGAATTAAGCACAGCTTATTGATGTTTTTTCTTGTCCTGGGATGCGTTTCTTCAACCTTACCTATTTAAATTATTTCCTTTCTCCAAGTAACAGGACAAACATTTAATTAAGCATGCTTTAGTTGTTGATACTGTCTAGAACCTATGCGTGTATTGTTCAATATGGTAGCCATCAGCCACATGTAGTCACTTTAAAAAAAATAAAAATTCAGTTCCTCTGGAGCCCTCTGGTAGCCACTGTGGAAAATAATTTGGCAGTTCCTCAAAAAGTTTAATACATGACTCAGCAATACCGCCACTATGTTTACACTCAAAAGATTTGAAAGCAAGGACCCAAATAGGTATATATGCACTGTTATGGACTGAATTGTGTCCCTCAAAAGTATATGTCAACTTGGCTAGTCCATGATTCTCAGTATTACGTAATTTTCTCCATTTTGTGATTAGATGTAATTATCCCATGTGTTGTAAATTTTACCCTCTATCATGTTAATGGGGAGCTCTGATAGTGTAGTGCCTAAGGCACTTGACTGCTAACCAGAAGGCTGGTGGTTCAAACCCACCAGCCACTCCTCAGGAGGAAGATGGGCAATCTACTTCCCTAGTGATACTCTCTCAGAAACCCAAGGCGGGGTTGCTAAGAGTCGGGTTGACTCAAAGGCACATAACGAGGATGATCATGTTAATGAGGCAGATTCCTCATTCCTCTAATTCTGCCTCATTTATCTGTTTGTGTTCCTGCTTTCAAATTTTTTGGGTGAATATCTAGGAGTGCAATTACGGGGTCATATATTAAAGTTTTTGAGGAACCGCCAAATTGTTTTCCATAGTTGCTGCAAAAGGTCTCCAGAGGAATTGAAATTTTAATTGTATTTAAATTTGTTAAGTAACTATATGTGGCTGATGGCTAACATACTGAATAGTGAAGGTCTAGGTTCTAGAAAATACCAATAGTTAAGTTTACTTCATTGTTTATCCTGTTACTTGAAGAAAGAGAATCATTTGAATAGATGAAAATGAAGAAAAGCACTTATGTTGATGAAGAAAAGTCAGTTAGGTTAATGAATTTCAAAGAGTGGTTTGACAAGAGGAAGTATTATAATAAAACGTGCAAAGACCTGGAGTTAGAAAACCAAAAGGTAAGAATACGTTCAGCATTTCCCAACCTGAAAGAACTGAAGAAAAAAAAATTCAAGCCGTGAGTTGAAATACTGAAGGATTCTATGGGCAAAATATTGAACAACATAGAAAGTATCAAAGGAAGATGGAAGGAATACACAGAGCCATTGTACCAAAGCGAATTGGTCGAAATTCAACCGTTTATGGAGGTAGCATATGATCAAGAATTGATGGTACTGAAAGAAGAAATCCCAGCTGCA